CGCCGCCGCCGCTAGCCCTCCGCCGCCGCCATCGGGGACGGCGGTGGTCGTCGCTGTGGTCGAAGAGGAAGGACGAGGAGCGGCGGGAGCACCGAGCCGTGGCGGCGCCGAAGAAGGTAACAACACGGCACGAGGCGATGACGACGACGACGACGACCGCGCCGACTGCCTCCCGTCCGCGCTTCGGCAAAGGGTAGCCTCCGTGGCCGAGAAGGTGGCCGCCGCCGGGGCGCGCGGGGCGGCCTCGACGGACGTCCAGGGCGCGGCCGCCGCGGCCGTGTCCCTGCTGCGCGAGGCGACGAAGCTGCCGTCGAACACCGCCCCCACGCCGCCGCCGCCGACCACTTTGGCGGTGGAGGGGTCGCCGTCGTCCAGCGGCCCCTTCTCTGATCGGCCACGGCCGCAGCTGCAGCAGCCGCTGGAGGCCGTCTGCAGCGGCGTCGGCCTCGACATCCCGCGGGGAAAGGGGGCCACGGCAACGGCGGGTTGTGGCGACGACCTCGTGATGGCGATCTGCGACGGCTTCGTGACGCCGGCGCTGAGCCTGAGGAACTGCCTGGCGTTCGTGAGGGCCGTGCTCGTGCCGCGCGCCAGGGCCCTGAACGCTCCCGCCTCGAGGCTGCTGGTGACGGCCGTGTCCGGGATCGGGAAGGCGCGCCCGGGGGTGGTCATCGACGGGCTGGTCCTGCCGCTGCTGTGCGGGGGGGACCCCGCCTCGGCGGTGGGCTCTGCGCAGTGCGAGCTTTGCACGAGGCTAATCAAACAAGTGAGGGGCACTCGGTTTGAATGATTGTGTGGGTGTGCTTGTGGGTGCAATTTTGCGGAACCCAGACGTACCGTACCGCGCAGTCGTAGGGCTTCGGGTTGAGGGTGTGCTGAGCGCTCGGGATCCGTCATGCTCAAGTGACACTTTGGTTCCTTGCATATCGTTGAATTGTTGTGTTGAATCCGGAGAGTAGGCCCCAGCCGTTGATTGCTGGTGATAAATTTCGAAGGCTCGAACGCCTGCACGCAGCTCGTCAGGTATAGGCACATGGGGGGTTATTTTGCTGCTCTCCTTGGTGCGGCGGGTATTCATATTTCCTACACGCCATGTCAAGGACTGCGCTTGCCGTGATTGGGCTAAAATCGCGCCAATCTGCGCTTTATTTATATACTTCTTACATAGCCTCTGCGCGCGTGCTTCAAAATACCCCCGGTCGGTGTCGACGTGCCAGATCCTACCCAAGGACACCCTGGAGGCCGTCCTCGTTGGCCTGTGCGGCCCGGCCGAAGACGAGAGCGCCCAGACAGCCGGCGGGTGGATCGAGGGCCCGAGCGGCGGAAGCGGTGGCAACGGTACCAATGCGGCGGCGGGCCGGCGGCACGACGCGGCGGGGTCGTCGTCGCGCTGCGTGTGGACGGAGCTGACTGTGCCGGTGATGACCACTGCGCTTAACCTGAAGCCGGCGCTGTCGGACAGGGCAATCGCGGCCCTGGTTCGCGGGGTGGAGGCTGCCGCCGAGCGGGCGGCGCTGCAGGTGCGCGGACGTGCGGGCATTTTCAATCCGTGTTGGGATGATGTTTTTTCTTGTGAAACGCAAGGGTTAGGCGGGTCACATGGCGGCAGTGTCCAACGCGTTCCTCTGGTTTTAGCCGATCGGTCGCACGTGGGTTTTTCTGCCGTTGGCTCGAAGAAGGCCGGTGTGTAGGTGCCCTAGGCTTTGGCCAGCCGCGCCGAAACGGCGGGAGAGGGCCGCCTGGGAACGGCAGCAACACATTGGACCGCGGTGGTTCGATGATTGCGCAGGAAAACCTATCGCCGTCTTGCCTACAGCAAGAAATACCGTCGGCAACTCGTGGCGGGTCTGCAGCCTGTTTGCATTGCACCCGGGGAACAACACTACGCGCTTATCACTCTTTTGACTTGCAATACTATACTCCCACACCGCAATGATGCCTGTTTTTTTTTTTCAGAAATCGCTCAAGTTCACGACCTTGATCCACAGCCTGGTGACACGCTACGGCCCCCAGCTGAAGCCTCACGTGCCCGTGCTGCGGACCGCTGTTGGACGCTGCTCTACCTTCATGGTAAAGGCTGTGCTTGCGGCCCTGCAACGGCTGGAAAACTAGATTTTTCGGGGACGGAACAGCGCCCACCGTTGCGTGTCATGGTGCTTGGGGGGGTTGTCACCGCTCCTGCTGTTTTGGGGCGTTGGAAACACCGCAGCTTTGGGCTCGACAGCAGTGCAGTTTTGGGCGCGACTGTGCGGCCAACCAAATAGAAACTTGCGCACACGACCGGGCCGGCGATTTGTTGCGGGCATTGGCACCCGCACACGAAATCGTGTCGAGAATATCACTTGTCTCTCGCGGAATGCTTGTCTTCCGGAGATGAACGAAACTCTACGTTTGTGAGTCATCGCTGCGAGGGGGTTCTGTTGCGAATGAGAAGTGCACGAGCGGCCCCAGGGACACCATGGTACTAAAACCAGACGCAGGCGTGTTCGGATGTACCTGCTGCGGCACGTACTTGCTGCAAGAAGGCCTGGGACGGAGGTGGCGTGTCGATGGGGGGAGCGGTGGCTTAGGCTACACGCGAAATGGATAAATCAATCACAGCTGAAGTGATCCGTGCGGGCTTTTCCGGCCGCGATGTCGCGGGTGGTGTGACCGGTGGCCTCCACGCACCGCACAACCGTTTTCCGATGTACCGCACCCGACGCTTTCACGAAATTAACTACGTCAGTTTGTGCGGGTTATATTCCCACGCTTCTTTTGTTTTTGTTCTCAGGCCCCGAATCACCGCCGCAGTTCTGGGCTCGCACGGTGCACACCACCGAGTAGGCCAAACCGTAGCGCCCCGTAACAATTCAAGAGAGATCAAAAACATAATCATCGAATGTAGCACCGCTCCGATGTTTTACGTTTCCTAACATAACCACGCTCCGCCGTCCCCCCAGTGGATGGCCCTGGCATCATTCTGTCTACTGAGTGAGCGATATGCCATTTCCTTCACAAAAACCCTGTGCACATTACAACAACGCCCCGAGACGCACACCCAAAAAAGAAAGCTGCATACGACGACAGCGATCATCCCGTCCCTACGACACTGAACCAAGTGTGTGACATCGGCTACCCTACAGAGAGCAAGGGGATATATTACGGTTGGTTCTGGAGAAAACAAAGGGGGTGCATTTACACGGCAGCAGGCTCGCCGGGCCGATATCTCCAACGACGGCAGCGGTTAAACAACGGCTACCTTTCAGGCCACCCCCCACCTCCCCGCGTCTCCCAAACCCCAGCCCTCAGGCAGCAGAGCAAAAAACAAAACCGTGCCCCCAAGATATTCGGAAAAAGTGGCCAAAAGGCGACCCGGAAACATACACGGTGAGAACACGAGCCTCTCCTTTCCTATGGGCACCACTGCCGAAGCTCCCTGCATCCTTTCGACTGGGCGCTGCTTCAACTACGCTCTCACATGAGTATGACTGGCCCGAGAAGGGAAGAGAGATGGAGGGGACACACACACCGTTCCAACCAAGTACGGGTACAGATGTCGCTCAACACCGCGGAAAAGCGGTCCTCAATCAACTCTAGCCCAACGTAGCCAGCCAGCCACCTCCACATCTAGAAGTAGTGTGTAAAAATCGATTGCTATGTCATGCTCACGCTTAAGCTCAGCTACCAGAAAAACAACATGCTCTGGTTGCCCACGTGTGGGACGACCTCCTCCGACACGCAGCCGGGACCAAAGAGTACCCCCCCCCCTCTATCGTGCGCAAGAGCGCATTTGCCTGTATTTTTTATGTACATGCGCGTTCCGTCCCTTGGGTTTGTCCCGACCATTTTTCTGGAGCAGCATGGGGGCGGGGGTGAGCCGACGCCAACGCTTCGCTCGGTGGCATGCAGCTTGAAAGATCGCCCACTCGCTGTTTGGACAGCGGACGGATGGTAGCGTAACCATTTATATGTTTAATCTCTGTCTCGTTCCAGCTTTCGTACTGCCTCGTCCACTGTCGGTAAATGGGCACCTGCTGCGAGTCGAGAACCACGGCGATAGACGGAATCCGGAGACTTGGACGCTCCACCCGAAAGTACGCTCTTGGGCACGGACAGAACGCGCCCACTCCCTGGGCTTCCCACGTAAAACTTGGCGACACCCGTTCGAATCAAACCCCGGGACCCACGCCCAAAACCGAGCCAACCGGCAACAGGCAACATCACGCGCAAAAAAATGACGCGCCCTTTGCAGCGAGCGACACACCTACAATACGACATTAACCTAAAAAAATCGAATCCAAAACTGTTCAAAATCATCCCAAATCAACGGCCCGCTGGAGATCCCCCCCGGACACGAGGATATTCATGGTAACCGCCCACAGCGCGGCCTGTAGCTCCATGTCCTGCCCCGCCGCGCTGGCCGGCGTGCGGACATCCTTGTCGTAGTACGCGCCGGCGGCGACGTAGGGATCAACCGCCGCGTTCGACACCACCTCCCCGGCCTGCCCCCCCCCCCCCAAGCAGCCGTGGCACCGTAAAAACATTTTTTTGTTGGTGGAACGCGAGAAAAACAGGCGGCAGAGAGGTCAGTGTAGCCAGCCACCGCGTGTTGGCAAAGCTCGGTAGGGAGGGTAACAGGAAAAATGGAGGATCGGAAGCTGGAACAGCGGGCACCGGCGACGCGGCACACACTGGGTGGGTGGGTGGGTGGGTGCAACAACACCCAAAACGTGGCTCGTGGGCGGCGTTCCCACTAAATAACAACGCGGCAAAGCAACTATGACGGGATAAATGCATCACAGGTGTAAAAAGAAGATGGTACCGGTAGGTCTTAAGGCAGGGGCGTGTAGATGCGAGGCGGCCGTTTCAGCCCTCTCTCCTATTATAGTGCACCATGACCTCGATTTCTGCCGCTCAAACTGAAAACGACTATATACGTAGCTTCGAATAATCCAGCACGCACACGACTAAGTAATAATAGTGCATCACGAGAATCGTTCTTGTCGCGATCGTTAGCACTCTGGGACCTGGGCGGGTACCATTTCAAAAGGGAGTGCCGGAGTCGAGACAGCTGCTCGACCCGCACAAAAAACACTCTGTCTATCCCGATTTCGGCACCCACTCTCCCTGGTGCCGCCGATCCAAGCGCAGGAAAGCTCTTTTCGTCTCCCGCTGTGGAAAAGATAACACCTCGTTCTACCCCCCCCCCCCCCCCTCCCCGTCACCTGGTATGTATTCTCCCGTCCCGCCTACGTGTTCGTCTACACACGGGCACACCCACGCACCTTCTCAACCGAAGTCAGGAACGGCTGCACCAGGGTGAAAATGAACCTCAGGAGAGGGCTATGCCTTGCGATGGCCGTCCGCACCGTCCCGGGCCTCACCGCCACCCCAACCACCCCGCTATCCTCCCCGCCGTAACGCCTCGTCAGCTCCGCCGCGTACAAGACGTTGCAAAGCTTGCTCCCGGCGTAGGCCTGCCACTTTCCCCAGCCCCGGGACATCTCTGTGGCGTACGATATCCCCCCCGCCCCGACCTCGTGCTGGGCAGCACCCGCGCCTCTGGCTAGCCCGCCCGCCTAGTATCGACACCGATTCAACGTCAGTGTGCACCAGCCAGGGGCAGTCGTGGCACAAACAAAGAGGGGGGGGATGTTTGATCGAGCGCTGGTCCATCGCGTTGAGGTCTGTAACATTCTTGCGTGTACAGTACACTTCCGTAGCTGCTGTGTTCTAGGCGCAACATGTGACTTGTGTGCCGAAGTCAGCGAACAACGATTATGTCATGCATGTGTCGGCCGCCGAGCAATAGAAACAAACAGGTTCGGCGAAAACGTTCAGATTTCGTGATCCTGCCAGACTATTGCTGCTGCTTACCGCGCCCTGGTTGTTGGTGGAGGCCCATCTGTGCGCGCCGCTCGCGACGATAACCACTCGCGACAGCTCGCCCGTGTCCCTGTAGGCCCTCCTCAGGTTCGGAAGCAACAGCTCCGTCAGGAAGAACTGAGCCAAGTGATTCACCTGGCACACACCACATTGACAACACAGAACAAGCACACGTCGTCAGGCCGAGCGCGCGGGGGCGAACAGGATTGGACGTTGCCGCCATTGAGTACCAAAAGTTTGGCCGCAGTAACAATATCTCTTCGATAAGCGCATCCCTGCAAGCCCAGGATTGGCCACGTCACCGGGAGACTCCGGGTCCGAGGGGAGGGGGGAGGGGTAGCAACACATGAAGAGCAAGCAGTCAGATACTCGTTAGGACAGATGGATGCATAGATGTACGCGTGCCGGTAGTGAGAGCGAGCAGGTCACCCCAAGAAGACACTGCCCTTGTTCTCCACCAACCACGTAGTACGGTCTACGTTGGAAGAGGGACACCGGGTGTGTGTGTGTGGGGGGGGGGGGGGTGAAGGGGTGTTCATTGAAAGAAAATTGGTAATTTTCTCGTACTCGACGAAAACAAAAGAACACGAGAAACAATCCATACAAACGTAAAGGTGGTCCTCCGAACACGAAACTGACGACGGCTGTCCACACCTGGAAAGTCAGCTCGTGCCCGTCGACGGTGGTCCGGTAGGGCACGGCCATCACGCCCGCGTTGTGTATCACCGCCGACACGGCCCGCCCCCCGACGGCACTCTTGGCGAAGGACCGCACGGAAGAGAAGGAGGCCAGGTCCAGAGGGTGACACTCGACGCAGGCGTCCGGGTGCTGCCGGAGGATGTCGTTGGCGGCTTCGTGGCCCGCGGTCACGTTCCTGTGTGCGGGTGTGCAGTGCCGTAGTTGAAAGACAAGGGGGGGGGGGGGGGGGGGGGGACCCTTACCTTTTTGAGGCCTTTTGGGGTAGGGCGTTTACCCCCCCCCCCCCGGGGGGGGGGACATTTTTCCCCCAGGGCCCAACCCCCAGGGGCCATCCTTTCTTCCTTTTTTTCCAAAGGGGGGTCAAAAAAATTTTCCCCAACCAAACTGTCCCATCCAAATTCCTTCCCCCCTGTTTAACCCCTTTCCAAGGCCCCCGGGGAGGGAAAAACCTTTGGGGGGGGGGGGGGGGGGGGTTTTTAAAAAAAAAATCCACCGGGGTAACCGGGGGAAAAAAAAAAACCCCCCCGTTTTTCCAAACCAAGGGGGGGGGGGGGTTTTTTTTTGGGTTTTTTTTGGCAAAAAAAAAAAATTGGGTCCCAAAAAAAAAAGGGAATAAACTTGGGGGGGGGAAAAACGGGGGGGGGGGGGGTTCCC